CAGATGAATCAAATTTTTCAAATTCTGGAATGTTTAATAGAAAAAACCACCATTATTGGTCAAGAGAAAATCTTTTGTTAGTACATCCAAGAGGCCCACAAGTCCGTTTCAGTTTCAACGTTTGGTGCGGTATAATTGGTTCAAAAATTGTTGGCCCGTTCTTTTATGAGGGAACCCTAACTGGTGAAAGATATGTGGAATTTATGTCAGAAATTCTGACTAATTTCTTAGACGAATTGGATCTTATAAGTAGACATCATCTGCATTTTCAGCAAGATGGCGCACCTGCCCACAACTCCAGAGGTACTTATCATTTTCTAAGTACTACTTTTAATGATCAGTGGATAGGAACAAATGGCCCAATACAGTGGCCTCCCAGATCACCAGATCTAAACCCACTTGATTACTTCTTGTGGGGTTACTTAAAGAACCAAATTTACAAGCGAAGGTACGATAACCTTGACGCGTTAAAGACTGCAGTTAGGGAAAAGATAACCCAGATAGATGGTAGGACCATACTTAAGACAGTTCGAGCAGTTGGAAAACGTGCCCAAAAATGTATTGAAGAACAAGGTGGTGTTTTCGAGCATCTTCTTTAAAAAAAATTGTTATTGTATTTTGTAAGATTATAAGTTGATGTTGAAAATAAAGTTTGTCGATACAATTTAATTGTTTCAGATTGGAGGCCATAACTTCAACAATTTGTAACCTAGGAGAAAAGTTATTGTAAGCTTTTTTGTTTAAAATTTGATGCTTTAACAGAAAAAAATATAATATACAGGGGTTTCCATTTAAAAAAATGTTATTTTACTGAAAAAAATCAAAATAACGACTCTCAATTGTTTTTTTTTATTTCTCATTTTTACCAGCGTTAAAAATGCTACTAGTTTGCTAATTCAAACAACTTTGTATTTTCACTAATAACAAAGTTACTAATGGTGGACACTTAATTTGGATAACCCTGTATATATAGCACATGAGTATTTGGACACTGCTTTAGAACTGTTAAATAGTGATAATGAAAAAATTATGAAATGGTTAAATGTCAATAAACTTAAATTAAACAAAAAACAAAATGTATGTCAGTAGGGAAACATTTAGGTGACAAAACAATTAGGCTCATGATTAATGATGAACAAATTGAAGTAGTGGAGTCATTTAAATACCTTGGTATAGATGTATTCCAAAAAAATTGTTTATAACACTATAATTCTTCTCCATTTTTTATATTGTTCAACCATGTTGTTTACAGCAAATGAAAACACATTTTCAAAATTACAAATTCTACAAAATAAAGCTATGAGAATCACTTTAAATAAAAACAAATATAATAGGATTAAGTATATGTTAGAAGAACTGCAGTGGTTGGATGTGAAAAATTTCATATATTATTTAGTTCTCTTCAAATTAAAAAATCATTTATTACCACCACGTTTAGAGAACTTCACAAAATTAAATAGTCATTATCATAACTACGAAACTAGAGGCAGTATAGATTTTCATCTGCAAAATTGTAATAGTAGCATAACTAGTAAATCTATATTTCAAAATGGAGTATTTCAATTTGATAAATTTTATAATGATATTAAACAGAGTTCGAATTTAAAAATGTTTAAGGTGAAATTAAAAAATCACTTCATGAATAATCAAAATACATAGTGACGTAATTTTAATTTTAATAGACAAGAATGTAAAATTATAGAAAATGGATTGAAGAAAAATATGTAACCGAATCATTATACAAAATTGACGTTGATGCATTAATGCTAAAGAAATATTCAACAACAACAAAAACAACTTTGATATTGGATAGCCCATCATTTGAAAGTTGAAGTAATATGCAATGACGTTTACGAATGTTTGGTTTCCAATTGTATTTGTGCGATTAATATTTATATCCCTACTAAATGTTCATTCTGATGAGTACTAGTATCGTTATTTAAAAACGGTATTCGGATGTTGGTGTACCCTTAAATCTAAAATCTTGCAGATTCTGCTCTGATCAGCAACGTGATCGTAAGTACCATCCATCCGAGATCAAGAGATTACGGAACGCGAGATAAGGCAGTGAACAGATAAAAAAAGGAAGGAGGAAGACGTAGCGAACTGAGAAAGGCGCTTCGGAGCCTGGCGTAGGCAGATACAAACTTGCGGTACGGGGATTTTTTACAACGAGGAAAATGATGGGCACACAGGATAATAATAATCGATACCGGCGCAGTCTTGGTTTGCCGGAGTGCTCTATGACTCTAACCGAGGGATTTTTTTTAGATCGATGGACGATATGGGATATGAGAATGTTCCGTCTGTGCCTTGGTGTCCCACACATTTCCTGTGTGTTTTTGCTCCTCTTTGCTTAAGGTGGTTTGTCATCTAACTTTGCACTAATTTCAGGCTCGACCTCGATAAAGAACTCTTATTATAATCGTTTTTTATTTTTCACGAATAGGGTCGAATTTTTTGCAACCAATGGCAGTAAGTATTGAAAACAAAATATTGTCAAAGTATGAGATGACAAAATTTGTAAAATCGAAACAACAAATTCTGTAGAAATTACCCTGATTTTTATAGTCGAAATCACAAAAGATGACGATTTTAGTCTGTAGTAAAGACAAATGACAGCCATTTGTGAATATTTTTAATAAAGTTTCAAATATGTTAGACAGAGACAAACAGAATTTTATTGTCAAAACTAACTGTATTGCTAATTTGCATGTATCCGACAAAGATGTTTTCATGTTGCTTGATCGATCATATTTGAAAGATGAATACCCAACTAACAATTATCACTCCTATTAGAGTTGCAAGAATGATTATACAGTATTCCTTACACCCTCTTAGAACAGCTGTATAAGCGAAATGGGCACACCTAATAGGACACTTCAGTCATTTAAGAGGTTGTATAAGGGCTGCAGGTAACAGATATACAACAAAAGTGTAAGCCTCTTGCAGCCGCTATAGGACATTTGCGTCAGTGCAAGATTCAGTTTTTGTCAACTATACAACTATTCTGTTACGTGATTCTACTTAATTGCAACCAAACTATTTCTTATGTATTGTATAGACCAAGTGAAGAATATATAACTAACACATTACAGTCATCTTGTTTACCTACATATCGGCCATTGTGAATTTGATACACAGGTATATGATAAACTTCTGCACTGTGATATAGGGCTATTGAATTACTTGCGCAGCAACTTTTATTGCGATTATCGTGCAAAGTAGTTACGCATTTTCTACGGGCTTCGTATTTGAATCATATTTTGATAATGATCAAAAGTATGTTTGGATTTTTAAGATGGAAAACTGAACTTATCTGCGTTAAGTCTTCCAGAAATGCTATATTTGGACACAATTACACTGATGCGTATAACTTTATATCTGTAATTTCGAAGCGTAACATAATTATTTAATATTAAATAGAGGAATAAGTGTTTGCCCAATATGGCGGGTGATTGTGTATAATCATGGCATCGTCCATGTTATCTTTAGTTGATTAGAATATTTTGGTGTTGCCTGCAGGAGTTATTCAGCAATTTGACAAATGTCTGAAATGAAATACCGACAGAGTCGAATGATTTACCCAGAATTTGTACCAGATCTATATCTTCTGTTTGAACTGTTGATAAAACCTTCTGAACCAATATGCATGCGTTGTTGGTCTTAAAACACTGGTTATGGTATTTTAACAAAAATTTGACAGCAGAAAGTTAGGTTATGGTGAAGTTGTATACCAAAATATTTAGCACATGTACAGCCTTTAACAGTTACTAAACAACAGTTGTATAAGTGCTTCCGTTGGGAGCAATTTGTTGGCTAAAGTAGTAAATTTGCACAGCAAAACAACAAGGCTAGGGTTTGTTTTATAAACGTTACCATGGATGTCACAACACAGCCATTTTGACTAACGTGAAAATATGCATAAAATAGTTTTATAAACGTTTATGCAACAGTTAAAAAATTTGTCCTATAAGGTGATGTATAACTATGCTATAAGAATATTTTAAACACCTCATTTTAGAGCAAATATGTTGCAGAAAGCAAATTTGCATTCCACACAACATTAAGCCAGCATTTTGGTGTTCAGGCACCAACAATAGAGAGCTTTTATGGATAAACGGTTCTTTTACCAAAAGCTTATAGCACTACTTTGCTAGTTGGGTAGTTATGTTATGTTAAAGCAGGTTAGGTTGTTTTCGAATAATACTTTGGTCTTTGGTGTTAATGTCTTGAGATGTATTCTACTCATAACTTTTTTCAAAACAAAAACTTCCCACCAAAAATTATTATTAAGGTATCACTGTAAACCATGGAATAAAAATAATGAGTGAAATAAACTAGCTTCACAAAATCATAATATAAATTAATGGTATCATGATTTTATCATCGACGTCCGTCCATTGATTACTTCAGTACAATTTGTGGTATGACGTAATAGTCATCTTTCGTGATTTTGACTACATACTAAAAGTACCCTTATTTATAATACAATTACTTTTTCACTATTTTATTCAAAATATCAATGATATTCTGAGAATTTTGACAGTCTCGGATCAAATTGCATCTCACTAATGTCTTCCCTGATTGGTTGGACTGACCGTCAAATTAAATTTTTTTGTGGAATCTGTCACCCGTCTTTTTTATTCTGATGCAGCCGCAAAGACAGAACCACAATACCGGCAAAGCACACTATTATAAAGAAAATATGAGGCTCGGACTGAAGTAAATCTCTTCTGGTAGATTATTCTATTCTTCGAGATCCTAAGATCATACTGGCCAGCTCCCAATGCACAGAGACCAAACTATACTGAGAGGTAGAAGCATTACATCATTCAGAAGAGTTCAGAAGAACAGTATCTGTTGGCATATTTGTAGAAAATAGTCCATCCATGCAAAAGAGACATGGTATCGTCTATGCGTCTATTAAAGAAGTATCACTTATAAACAGCAGCAACACCATTTTTTTACTTTACTAAATTTTGCTTGAATTGTTATGACTACTGTACCTTTTCATAATCGCCCGATCTGAGGTGCATCTTCCCTCCACACTCCCTTATAACGCTCATTATCAACGGGTGAGGGATCGCTGAGCGTACTTTGAGGCTTCTTTCGTACAGCTCCTTCAGCAGCTTGTGGTTCTTCTGCTCTGTGTGTAACTGGATCTCCAAGGCGTACACCTCCAACAATTGCGTACCTAAAACATTTTTCACTAGTTTATAAGATTCATTGGAAATATTCACTCTGTCCGAACTGGCGATATCTTTTGTGGAGTTCATAGTCTACAGAAGTGGTCGCCAACCCGTCGAACGCGAGCTACCGGTAGCTTGTAAAGGCAGTTGTGGTGGCTCACACCGTATTTTAAAAAGGTGTAAAAATCATTGAAGCTTCTGTAAATTTTGTAAATTCTAATAATAAACACAAGCAGCGTCAACACTGCGGTGAGCGATCTGTTCGAGAACGATCCTGATTACTCTGAACGGAATAAATACGCAAGGCGCGGCGAGAGCGCGCTCAGTTTAAAAATGAACGGCACAAAGTCCAGAGGTTGGGTTAGAGTCGGCCTGCAATTAAAAACATGAGCAATAGTAAGAAGATGAAGACATACCATTTCCATTCGTAATGGGAAGAACAATATTTGTTTCCAGAAGTTAAAGGTGAAAATTTATGTTTGTTATGTAATACATCTATTTCCGTTGCTGAAAAAGAGAATATCGAGAAGCACTATAAAACTGTACATTCGAATTTTGATAAATCATTCCCATTACGTTCTGCAACCAGAACGGAAAAACTGAAACAATTAAAAGATCAGTTAATTCGACAATAGACAATGTTTTTAAAAACAATCGTCAAAAGTGAGGCTGCAACTGAAGCATCATACCGGGTGTCCCAGATAATTACGCAAAAGAAGAAACCTTATGAAGACGGGGGAAATGATACAATAGGCGTTTTGTGATGAGACGAGTAGAAGTAATGAGCACTGATATAGTTTTATAGTTAAGAAATGATTTCGATATTTCGATAACTATGCTTATTTTTCACTGCAGCTGGATGAATATACAGATGTCGTTGACACCTCTCAGATGGCCGTTTTCGTCAAGATGGTTTTCAGTGATTTTACGATTAACGAAGATCTTTTGAAGTTTATTCCACTAAGAGGAGCGACTACTGGACATGACTTGTTTTCTTATTTTAAAAATGTTATTTCTTCTGAGAAAATTCCAATATCGAAAATGGTATGCTTGACAGCCGATGGCGCTCGAGATATGGTGGGTCGTGATGGTGGGGTTATGTCGTAAAGATAAAAGTTTTCCTCAGTTTCTCTATTACCACTGCATTATCCATCAGCAAGCATTATGTGGACATCTTCTAAAACTAGACAACGTTATGAAATTGTCAGTACAAATTGTGAACAAGATTACAGCTCAAGCGTTACAAAAATGATTATTCAAAACCTTGGCCGATGAAAGTGACTCTCAATACGGGGAACTACTTCACTCTGAAGATAGTTAAGTAGAGGACGAGAGCTGACACGTTTTAATGATATCATATCTTGAATCTCTCTCTGAAAAATAATCACTTTCCATCTATTTGGAAGTTGTCTAGGGTAACTCCTGTTTTTAAAAAAGGTGAGAGGAATTATGTAGAAAACTATCGGGCTATCACAATTATCAGTAATTTCGCTAAAACATTCGAAATAGTGATACAAACTCTGCTATATTTTCATGTAAGCAGGTCTATCTCCGTCAGTCAACACGGTTTCATGAAGGGCAGGTCCACAGTTACTAACTTGCTACATCTTACTCAATATGTTTGTGAATCAATCGATAGACAACTTCAAACGGATGTAATATATACTGATTTCTCTAAAGCGTTTGATAGTTTAGACCATAACATTCTACTCAATAAGTTATCTAGATTTGGTCTTTCAGATGCATTGATGCTATTTTTCAGACCTTATTTATGTCATAGGAAACAATATGTTATGTGCAATGGGCATAAGTCAAGCGAATACCCTGTAATGTCCGGTGTTCCTCAAGGATCTAATTTGGGACCTCTGTTATTTATTATGTTCATAAATGATATTTCTGAAGTTATCGATGTCGATTTTCTTATATATGCTGACGATATGAAACTTTTCTGTAGAGTCTCTAACATTGACGATTGTCATCGCTTGCAATGCAACATTGTAAGGGTTGACAGCTGGTGTCGTGAAAACAGACTTGTTTTGAATGCTGCTAAGTGTCACGTTTTGTCGTTTACTTTAAAAACAGGGTTAATGATGTATGAATATAGTATTGGTGACAGGAAACTTGACAGACCTAGTACAATTAATGACTTGGGAGTCACATTTGACAGAAAACTTTCCTTCTCCTATCACATTGAAAATGCTGTTGTGGCTGCATCAAAGGCGTATGGTTTTATTGTAAGAAATACCGGTGATTTCCACAACTCCTTTACACTGAAAATACTGTACTATGCTTATGTAAAATCTAAGCTTGAGTATGCGTCCCTGGTATGGTATCCTCATCATCAAATATATATTGACCGCTTAGAGTCCCTTCAAAGAAAGTTTTTAAAATACCTCTCATACAAAGCTGACGGAATATATCCCGCTATTGGCTTTCCTCATAGTGAGTTGATGGCGAGACACAAAATCTATAATTTAGAGAGCAGACGCAAAATGAATTCACTTATGTTTATTCACAAGCTCATCCATGGCATTATTGACTCCAGTGTCATCTTGGAACAACTTAACTTCTTAATTCCTAGATTAGCGTCACGAACTAGTTTAACTTTTTACTTAGCCAGGCCTATGACTGACATACTTAGGTTTTCCCCTATATATATAATGTGCCGTAATTATAATTCAGTTAATAGCGTTTTAGATATATTTTCGTTTTGTGCGACTTGGGAGACATTAATGCTTATTTTCGATAATGCTTGCCGGTGTGATTGTTGAGTGCTGGGTAGGTAAAGCTAGAACGCTTTTTTTTCCACCCAGTTCTGTTTTGAGGTTTTTTTTGCAGCGCTTTAGCTTTCTCTACATACATCCACAACATGCATTTGTTTATATTTTCATGTTTATCCATCCTGTAATTGGCTATGGCTGTTGGATGTTGCTAAATAAAATAAATAAATAAAATAAATATCTGCCATAGTTAAATTTTTCAAACAACGTGATGCAGATTCCCGAACTGAAAAATTCAATGTGGCTTAAAGATTTTGGTCTTCTTGTGGATATTACAGAGAAATTAAATGAACTTAATTTGCAGCTTTAGGGGAGAGACACAACTAGCAGAAATGATTTCTGATATAAAAGCGTTTATCAAAAAGGTGGAGCTTTGGGAACAAAACCTAATCGATGGCGATACCAAGCATTTTTCTGTTCTTTCAGAAAAGATATCTCAAAGCCCATCGGAATCATATGACAGTAAATATCGTGTAGAAATAGTCTCTAACTTGAAGGATAACTTTAAAAATCGTTTCAAGGGCTTCAACAAAATTGCTATAGTGGCGCAATTTGTTGTTTCAACCTTCATGGAAATTGATATCTAACAGTCTGCAACTTGTGTTATACAGAATTTTAGCGAAGACATGGCTGGGACAGAAATGGAAGTGATTGCGTTTCAAAATGATTTAGCTTCAAAATCATTAGTGTCAAATACAAAATGTATCTGGCCTTCAGTAGATAAAGATAAATATTCAGTTTTATGTCGTGCTGCCTTGAAAGTGAAGCTATTTAGTTCAACCCTTATGGAAAATTTTATTCGAATGGCGGTATCAAACTATTATACTCCAAATATTAAAATTATTGTCAGCGAGTCTGAGTGTCAGGCTTCTCATTGAACAGGCATTTTTATCTGTATATGTTTTTGTTCAAAATGGCGCGTTGCTTTTTTTACTCTTAGTTACCTTTATTAAATCGGATGTGACATGCCATTGTAGCTGACGAAAATTTTTGTTTATTTTTCAAACACCTACGATTGGTAGAAATTGATATAGTTATGTAGTGTGTATTAGTTATTAGCTTATTTAAGTTTATTAGTATGCATGAGTATTAGTAAAATAAACACATGTATCTCGCATTCAACTTTGTTTAATTTCATTTAAGTTGGCTTACATTACTTACCACTAGTCAAAGTTATCAAAGTAGCTCAACACACTGAAAAGGCTGGCGACCACTGGTCTACAGATGCTAGTTTTTTGCAATTTTTATTTAATACTTGAGACACCACATCTAAATAGTTAGGGGCTATAGGAAGATACAGGGGAAAGGGGGGGGGAGGGCGTCACACGGACTTAATATAGTTTTCTAATCAGAATTATAAACTCTATTAAACTGTTCCAAAATCCAATCTGGCTTAAGTAAAAAAATAAGATTGATAATTGAGGACCAAACTAATTATGCCACCGTATAGAGAATAAAATACGGCGATATTAATTCATTTTGAAAACGATATTAATTAAAAATCCTATTTCAGGATACCCTGAATTGCAAAACTATCTAAGCGCAGCGCATCTTCGCCTCCATCTAACCGACTTGGTATCTCTTGCCATTTCCTAATTCGACTTGACTCCAATGTTCAGAAATTCAAAGATTTGTATTAAATCGTTCGTGAAAAAGAAACTAAATATTGATATGATTAAACAAAAATTGAATACAAACTCATCAACAGAGCGAAATTAAAGTTTCAGAAAAAAATTTGCATCCTATCAATAGATGAATTACGAATACTTCATGTGGGAACTCAGTCAAGTTATTACAAACCTTTTGTTGTGTTCGATTGACGCCACTTAAAATATTAATTACAATACATCGAACATAACGCTAAGTGAGCGGTTGTGTGCACGTTTCCTCTTGATTAAAACCTTTCGATGAAAACTTCTCAGACAGCGTGGGACTTCGCATCGTTTCAACACCTTTGACGAGAAAGCTTATGCATCTCATTATCCGATTTTTACACCTGATTTGGTGCACAGATGTCGGATGGTTACCTACATCCTTCCAATTCAGATGCAAAACCAACGGATTCTAACGTCAATATGGAGAGATATGGCTAATCGGAATAACGGTGTAAGGTGTTAATCCTTTACGTTATTGTGACTTATATGTCAAAACAGCTTAAGATGCTGGGAGCCCGAATACAAGATAACTCCTAGTTAACAACCTGACCATATTTTCTATAACACTAAAATGTGACTTATTGTAAAAAAACATTATGTACCAAGTATAAACATTTAACTCGCATCACTTATTTCACAACGAGCATTTTGTGTGCATTTTTAGGATTTGCTCCCTTCCCAGGCGCGGATCCAGGGGGTCATGGAGGTCATGGGGCAGTGGTATGATCGTGGACAGACGGCAAATAGTGCGCAGTATAACTGTTTTGCCGAATAGCATAAATTACTGCAATTATTGACAAATAAAATACGGCAATGGAAACTTTGGAAGTTGCGTGATTACTCAGAAATTAATATCAAAATTTAATGCTTAATGTCATGTTAGTGCAATCGTAGATCAGCCTGGTTTTTGCATTTAATGGTGCGCACTGGCACGGAACAGGTTGTAATGCGCATCGTAAGTTTTTGAAGTAAATTATACTTGATGATTCACCAGCAAACTTCTTGTGCATAATAGAGTTTAAAAGTTATCACGGATGCTACCGATAAGTAAAGGGCGTCGAGTCAAATTTGGAGTGCACGCCATTTATAACGGGTGATTTTTTAAGAGGTATAGGTTTTGATTTTCAAAAAAACACAAAAAATTTTAAAAAACGATTAAATCTTTATTTGAGTCGATAGGACGGTCGATATAATTTAATGTTTAAAGATTATTTCATGTAAATGTTGGGCGCGGCTCCGCTTTAGATGGTCCATGCGCAAGGTACAATTTTGGCACACTCTCTCCAACATATCGGCCGGTATCTCACGAATAAATGCTTCAATATTGGCTTCCAGTGCGTCAATCGTTGCTGGTTTATCCCTGTCGACATTAGCATTAACATGGCCCCACAAGAAATAGTCCAAATCACACGATCTAGGCGGCCAATTGACGGGCCCCAAACTTGAAATAAACTGTTCAACGAACTCGCCTCTCAATAGGGCCATTGTTTCGTGTGCGGTGTGGCATGTGGCACCGTCTTGTTAAATCCACATGTCAGCCAAGTCCAGCTCTTCCATTTTGGGCAAAAAAAAGTTTGTTATCATCGCACGGTAGCGCTCGCACTTCACAGTTACGTTCCGGTCATTGTCGTCTTTGAAGAAGTACGGCCCGATGATGCCACCGGCCCATAATCCACACCAAACAGTGATTTTTCGGGATGCATTGGTAGCTCTTGCAATGCTTCTGGCTGGTCTTCACTCCAGATGCGGCAATTTTGCTTGTTTACGTACCCATTTAACCAGAAATGAGCTTCGTCGCTGAACACAATTTTTCGATAAAAATGTGGATCTTCCTCCAACTTTGCCAGCGCCCATTCACTAAATTGGAAACGTTGTGGTAGATCGTGTGGCTTCAATTCTTGCACCAGCTGTATCTTATAAGGTTTTACACCCAAATCCTGTCGCAAAATTTTCCACGTAGTGGAGTAACAGAGGTCCAATTGCTGCGAACGGCGGCGAATCGACATTTCACGGTCATCACTAACACTGGCGGATACAGCCGCAATATTTTCTTCAGTCCTCACTCTACGTCTGCGTGTTGGCGGTTTAAGGTCCAATAATGTAAACTTCCACGATATTATCACGAAGAAAATAGATAGGTATGTCATCAAATAAAGAAATGCACAGTATTGTAAAAGTTTATGGTTGTAAGCATTGAAGACGTGAAAAGACTCTAATAGACGCATTAGACTCTTTATTAGACTAAAAGAGGCTGATTCATACCACGAAGATATTTATTTTCAAAAAATTTCTTAAGAAATGAAACGGAAATTTTCTTATTCAAACTGACTGCTAACGTGCTGTTTCATAAACATTAAGCAGATGGTCCTCAAAAGAATACACCAACACTCTGATTTCTTGTTATTAATCTTACATTCAGATCATTTTGCCATTACTTAAATCCACCACTGTGATGGACAAAACCACAAAAAAGTTGTTGCACTGGATTCAAAGGAGATGGTAAGTATTAATATTAATCAATTCGCAGGAAGACAAGGAGGTAGAATTAATTTTGTTATTTAACAGTAAATTATTCATTATTAAATTAGATATAATATTTTACTCACTTTTAGACTGTACCCTAAGGGTACAAGGGTAGGGTTGTCATCTGCCTCCCCCCCCCCTCCCCCCGAAGACGAGAAGAACATCTTCCTGAACATGAAGTTTATTGACCAGTGTAATCCCCCCAGACACAAATCCTGGATCCGCCGTTGTCCCTTCCCCCTGAAATAATTTGCTGCCAGAAATTTATCTCTTACCGATGATCTACCTCCTTTGAGAATAATTTTTGCGGGCGCCCATGAAAAAACTAACCAAATTTGGGGGCATATACATTGAGGATCAAATTTCTCAGCTTCAGTTCAATGTGCGCGAGAGAGAAGTGCATATATACACATATTCTGGAAAGAGAAAGATGACTGCTGAATAGCGAAGCTTAGGACCGCGTTGCCTGGCAACGCTGACGTGGCAATCTACAGCGTTGCCAGTATGTTACAGCAGTTTCTTGAATTAAGATGCATGTTGAAAATATACGTTAGTTTGTACTTTACGCCCAAATAATGGGTCTTATTTTGAGCGTACACATTTTTGAATTGTGAATTATGTTGAATCTGTTCAGGATCGGTCCTAACGGCGCTCCATTTTAGGTCGAAATGAAAGGTCAGGTTCGCCACAAATTGTTTGTACTTATTTCAATTGTTTGGCTATTTTAGAATATGTTATGCAACAAAAAATTTGTGAATGCACCGTGACTGTATTCTGAATTATCCAAAAATTTGCTCATATGCCTTTTTAGACTAGAAACATTTGATGAACGTGATGTAATTCTCCTTCCAGGTGTCTGCAGAATATAATTTTTATTTTTAATCATGAATTTGTTGCGTTTCATCGAACATATAACAATTATTTCTATTTCAACTAATGGTAGAATAAAGCGATATACAAACTAGTCTTTGGGATTTCCATTCTAAACGACGATTCCAATCAGAAAAGTCTCTACCTTTGTGCGGATCAGTTTCATGACTGCAGGTGTTACACGTTTGTTTCAGTTGTCTGATAACGTTGGCCACTTTGTTGAATTCTTCTCTCTCCAAATAAACCTTTCCCAATTTGGTGTTCGTCTTGAACCACAACCTGTCATTCTTTGCATTCTTCAGTGCAGCCAAGGTAGTTTCGTAAAAGTTTTGCAGCATCTCCATGTCTTTGGATGTGGACGTGTAATCCAGGATAGAGTTTATGGACTTTTCGCCATGATTTTTTGTCACCGCGTTGTTGATATAACCTGCAAAAATAATATATATTATACAACTATCAATATAAACGTCACTATGAACTGATAATGATTCTATAATAATAATAATAATAATAATATTTATTTACTCTAAAATACAGGGAACATGAAACGAGTAAATAAATATAATATATCCATAGGAGGACAACGCCTGTGCATGGATCATATGTATGTTGAATTGCAAAATATAATAAAATAGAGAGAAAAAAGAAATTATTGGTAAGAATGGTAGAGCATTTATTGTGTAATATTTGAGATTATTTTATTAATTTGATTTCTCCCAATCGTGTTAATAAATTTTTTTAATTTTTTTTTGAAGCCTAATGTATTGCGTAATTGTTTTAAATTATTTGGTAAATGTTCGTACAATGTTGGAGCTATATACAGGTGACATCGTTTCATTAGGGATTTGTTTGGTTTAGGAACGTTTTTTGCGCGTAATTTATATCTGGTTTTATGATTATGTTTAATTATGTCGTGTTCACTAATAGTTTTGTGATAATGAGTGATGGTATGTAAGAAGTAAAGTTGTTTAGTGTCATATACTTGTGCATCATTATATAAGTCATTAGTTGGGTATAATTTTGATTTGCCTAACATTGATTTTAAAATTCTTCTTTGAAGTACATCTAAATCGTTAAAGTATGTCGTGCATGCAGCACCCCACACTACTATACCATATGTTATGTGTGGCTCGACTAAAGCTTGATATATTATTCGTAGATAATATTCAGTTAATATACCGGTTAGAAATTTTATTTTATATGCTATGAATCTAATTTTCTTTAGTATGTGAGAAATATGTACATCCCATCTCAAGTGGGGATCTAGATAAATTCCTAAATATTTTGTATCATTAACTGTATTGATTTTTATATTTTTATCATTTACCTTAAACCGAAGGTGGTTATATTTTGGTAGATGATTAGATAGTGATGAAAATGGTAAAAAATGAGTTTTAGTAAAGTTAATTGTTAATTTTCGGTTATTAAACCACTGAATAATTTTGCAAAAGTCATTTTGGATAATATCTTATAAGTCGTTCCAATCCTTACCTTTATAGAGTATAGCAGTATCGTCTGCAAAACTGACTATTTTACCAGTACTGTTAATTTTGAATATATCGTTTAAATAAATATTGAATAACAGAGGACCCAAAATTGTACCTTGTGGAACACCACATTTAACAAACATTTCTTTACTATACGAGCTTAATAATTTTACTGATTGCGGTCTATTTGATAAATAATTTTTCATTAAAGTATACATCTTTCCACGAAAACCTATTCTTTCTAAGATTTCCAAAAGTATATTGTGGTTAACTGTGTCAAACGCTTTTTGTAAGTCCACAAATACGCATATCGATGGTACTTTTCCATCTATATTTTGGGTTATTTCATCTACTATACTTAATACCCCATCTGATGTAGATTTGCCCGCTATAAAACCATATTGATTTGAATTTAGAATTTTGAATTTATTAAGAAAATTAATCATTTTATTAAGGAGTAATTTCTCAAAAACTTTAGCTAAACTTGATATAAGTGAAATAGGTCGATAGTTAGTGACGTCCGTATTATCATTAGATTTATAGATAGGTGTGATGATTGCTGTCTTGAAAGCTGATGGAAATACTCCAGATTGGAAGGATTTGTTAATGATATAAGCAAGTGGTTCTGTTATTTGTTTGGCCAGTATCTTTAGATGTTCAGCTCTAATTTCGTCAACTCCAGGGCTTTTTTCATTTTTTAGAGTCATAATGGCATTGAAAACATCCCGATAGTCTACTTCAGTTAATACAAATGAATTATT